TGCCTACCTTTAAGTCATCAGAAATAATCACCCCTAAATCCCTTTTCTCATATGTTGAGGTTAGGATTCTATCAAATATTCTGTACTCTGCCCTTGGGTTTTTACGTCCAAGATGCATTATCTTGCACTTATCCACATTAAATGTCAGTTGCCACAACTCTGACCATTTTTCTTATTTACCTAAATCATTTGTCATTTGGCTTATCCCTCCTGGAACATCAACCCTGTCAGAAAAAAAACTATTCAGACAAACCAAAATGGAGTAAAAATGGAACAAACAGTATAATACAAAATATAAATATTATGTATATAATTTGCTGTATGCTGAAAGATGCATTTTCAACCCATTTGGTTCACTGATCATTTTAGAAGAATTAATCAATAGACAGGAAAAAAAGAAGAAGCAGCAAAAAACATATATACAAATATATAATTTTTTCTTTTACTATTCCTCATTTCCCCCCCTCTTTTGGTCACCTTTTTCACTTGATGTGTGAATAAAATAAACTATTAATCGCTCGACCATTAATAATCTTTTTTTTTCATATCAATTGTCTTTTTTTTTGGTCAACTCAAAAAACAAAAAAAAATGGCTCGTTCATTTCTTGTTTCATTTGTTGTGATTCAGTGACATCTTGGAGTTACAGAGTTCGGAGGACTAGTGATCGCCCAAAATTTGGCCAAATAGTGATTCATTTGAAATCAAATGTATAAGTCTAATGATGTCTTCCTTCAGTAAATGAAAAAAAAAAAAAAAACAATGGCAAGTGATGGATTGGCAGGTTTTATGTCAATAGTAGAGATGCAGCAGGTGATGGAGTTGATGGTGCTGTAGCAGAGGCTGTAGTGCTTTCCTATGTTCTGACTGGAAACGTATGAGATCTGTGTGACTGACAGTGTGAGTAAAGTGAGTTGGAAGTAAACGGAAAGTAGTCTGGATCGGTGTCCGCCCTGAGTGGAGGTAAGTCTGGGTATAAATAGACTGGGTAAACCCCTCCCACAACTCCAGGCTCCGCCTTAACATATAGTTAATACGTTTATATATTTTAAATGTATTAACTTTTTTAAACTTTTTTTTTTACTTTTTTCACCAGCATGGGGACTGCCTCTCAGTTCAGACAGTCCTCCTGCTGTCAGCACTGTGGACACCTATTGCGGTCATTTGAGCGGTTACATGGCCCCTGGGGGTCCTAAATTGGAGAAGAGGGACTGTCGTCTCATCAAGTTGTTCAGTGAAGGAGAGGGCGTGATATCTGTTGTTTCTTACTAAATCTTCTGGTGTTTTCGATATTAAGTCGTCTTGTCTTGTATAGTTCTTTCAATTTTCTCTTTCCCAGACAGGCCTACTATCACTTCTTGTGGTTTCTCTAGGAGATTGTGGTTCATGTGTAAATTTGTGAGTCTTTAGTCTAACCATTGGTGATGTCTGCCTTTGGGTTTCTATCCTATCATGTAAATTTTCTCTGTGATGTATCACTTCTGGTCCTACTGTCTTTCGTGAGATATTGTGTGTTATGTCAGTGATTTGTGTTTTTCCTTGTGTTATATTGGATTGGTGTCTCAGTTTCGGTGCATAAGGTTCTGACCTTTTGAAGTGTGTAGTATTTCTGTATTTTTCAGAAGTATGGAAATGGTGTGATACTCTTGGTGAGTGTCTTTTATAGGGTGAGTAGTGTCTTGAGGTTCTTCTTTGAAATTGATTTTTCTGGGTGAAATCCTGACTTTTCAGACATCTTGGTCTAAATGATTACGTTCTTTGGATAGTGTCCCTTTCATGCCTTTTTATATTCAGTGTAATTTCTGTGACGTTGGTTTGTGGTTTTAGGATTTTTTGGAGATTACACTAAACACAGATGGACAACATATATAAACCAGGACTTGACAGGACTACCTAAATTTCTGAGGAAGCCCAGCCGGGTGAAACATGTTAAGTGTTGGTACTGGAAGAATGTATTCCCTATTTGCTTTTTATATATATATATATATATATGTATATATCATGTGATCGCAGAAGTGATCTGACATCGGTGGAACACATCCAAGATGGCGCTGGAATTCATGACAGCGTTCCAAGAAAGGAACATAATTACACATAATGATCAGCTGGAATCAGAAGGGGATTGTCTAGGAATACATCTAAAGTGGAGGAGTCTCAACCAATGAAGAGAAGTTTATGTAAAACGCACACTGGGCCACCAATGGACTCTGGGGGTTAGGCCATATAGGGACAGAGGAGGGGAGGGTTTGTTATGCTACTTTTTTCTTTGGCACTAGTGCACTTCGATTTTACTTATTTCACTGTGTCCCTGAAGAAGTCCACTTAGGCAGAAGAAACGCATTGGACTTATTTTATTCCTTTTTACTATTCAAGTTTGTTTTTATATATATATATATATATATATATATATATATATATATAAATTTGGTATGCAATACAATACACATATTATACACAATACCATACAATACACATATTATTGCAAGAAGTGGTTTCTTACATTACTGCTGACCCCTGGATGTACCGCTGGTGTGAAGGAGGCAAGGAAGGTTTTAGCCCCCCAGCACGAATCAGGGGAGGCACTCCAAGGCACAAACTTATATTTTGACATACTTCACTATGTGCTATTTGCAGGGCCGGTGCAAGGATTTTTGCCGCCCTAGGCAAAAGTAAAGTTTGACGCCCCCCTCCTCCCCCCGTGACATCGCAATGCCCCACCCATATGACCTGCCATGTTAACTAACGCTAGTGCTGCAGTGCCGCTGTGTTTACATTAAAAGGCCTGCAGGGACAGGCTATAGACACCAGGACCACTACATTAAGGTGCAGTGGTTCTGGGGACTATAGTGTTTCTTTAATGTGAGGTAAATTAGAGATTAGTGCCACGAATAATATACTAGATTACCTACTTACAAGCAGATGAGGATGATGACGGGCTCTAGCTGCAGTCTGGCTCCACTGGTCTGGTGTATAACAGGATCTCTGGAGGCTGTTTGTAACTGTGGTCACACAAATCAATGTTCTGGGAGAACGAGAAGCAGCTCCATTTTTTGGGGGCCCTTTACACAGCTCAAGGTCTGGGTCCCAGGGTCCACCTTCATTTTCCACCAATGAGTTTGTTCACAGGGGATGGAGTGTGTAGGGAATGTCCTGATTTGTGTGTAAGGAATGCATTTTGTGAATCTGTGTTTGTATGTGTAAGGGCTGCAAGTGTGTTTCTGTGTATGTAAGGGATGAAGTGTGTGAGTCTGTAAGGGGTGCATTGAGTGTGTGTAAGGAATGCATTGTGTGTTTCTGTGTGTGCAAGGGATGCATTGTGTGTAAGGGTTGCATTGCGTGTGTGTGTGTAATGCATTGTGTGTAATGCATTGTGTGTTTTTCTGTGTGCAAGGGGTTCATTGTCTTTGTGTGTAAGGGGTGCATTGTGTGTGATTGTGTGTGTGTGTGTGATGGATGTCAATCTCTCCCCCCTCCCTTGTCACTCTCTTCTCCCCCCCTCCCTTGTTACTCTCATTCCCCCTCCCTCCCCTGTCACTCTCCCCTCCCTGTCAATTTCTCTCTCCCCGTCAATTCCCCTCCCTGTCAATGTCTCCCCCCGTTAGTTTCTTCCCCCCCCACCTCCCTGTTAGTTTCTTTCTCCCCCCTCCCCTGTCAGTTTCTTTCTTCCCCCCTCCCCTCCCCTCCCTGTTTCTTTCTTCCCCCTCCCTGTTTCTTTCTTCCCCCTCCTTCCCTGTTTCCTTCTCCCCCTCCCTCCCTGTTTCCTTCTCCCCCCTCCCTCCCTCTTTTTCCCCCTCCCTCCGTTTCTTTCTTCCCCCTCCCTCCGTTTCCTTCTCCCCCCTCCCTCC